AAAAGTTGTATTTTTCGTATATTTGAAATAGTTCACTGCCCCCAAAACTAAAATCTTAGTTTCTTATAGATTTTTCTTTTGCTTAATTTCCCATTTTAAATATTCTAATATTGAATATTGTGTATGATGTATTATGTGCTTATTTTGCATTTTAACAATTTTTTGACATTTTTTTGTTTACAGTGAGGCTTATGCCTCGCCTCATGAAGGGAAAATCCCACAGTACCCAAACACCTTTCTAAACATATATACTCCCACGCCTCAACAAAAGGAATAAAATAAAAAAGTAAAGGCAAATGGAGAGATCAAGCATAGAAATTGTGGCTAAAAAATGGATCATCAAACAATGCAGTCTAGATTATTCTATTTTTCCTTGCAATACCACTTGAACACATATGTATCCAAGGAATCCTGACTAAATAAGCGTTATTTAGTAGAGCATCCACTTGGATGGCCTTCGACTTTTTCCCTTGTTCTAGCTTAAAGCATCTATATATCTTGTCACATTATTATGCATCATAACATGCATTTCTTATGTTTCGTGCAGGCGTTTGCAAGGATCGAGAATCATTACTTCATGAACAAAGGGTTTTTTCCTTCTGACTCATTCTTGTTAGATAACATTGAAAAGATAAAGCACATCAACACTGTAATTGTTCAGGTACATGTAACTTTCTCATGATTGTACCGTGAATAACTGGAATATACTAACTCTTGTATGCATCGTTTATTTAAGGAGAAAGTATATGACGTGTGACTTTTATGCAATCTGAAAAGATACTTGATGAATTATGATTTTAGTTAGAACTGTGAGTAAAAGAGCCCATATTTCTGAGGTGTGGTTGTTAATTGAGAAACGGTGGCTGGAAGATCCAAGCCAAACAAGCCATTAAATATAAAACAGACAAGCATATGCCCAGTTTTTTTCAACAAGATTCATTTAAACACTTTCTCTTTTGTATTATAGCTTAAAGATCATTCTTAATTCTTTCTTCGTATTATAACCATTGTAAATGTGTCATTGGTGTGCAAGTAGCTTAAATTATGTTCCGAGGAAATTAAAATTATAATTGAAAGAAGTCATTGTCTTTCTGATGGAAAACAACTAGAAGTCTATTCCAGGTGCCACAAGATTAAAATTTGAGTTAGGCTGGATTTTATTGGTTTTTACTAGATTTAATTTTGTTGTTTTAGCAGTTATTTACTACAAGTTATTTTACCCTATAAGCGGGTACCTATGTTTTTCATTTCATTGAAATAAACATTATTATTAATATTGAACCAAGATATTGATTTTTCTCCACATCGTAAATTCTTCTTAATTCCTTAGTTTTTGGTTTCTCTGTCTCTGTGTTACATTCTGCATCATTTTCATGTTGTGCAGGGAAGGTATGATGTTTGCTGCCCCATGACGTCTGCCTGGGATCTTCACAAAGTTTGGCCAGAGGCTGACTTCATAGTAAGTAATTGCTATATTTTCTTATGACAAAATATTTCTTCATAATATTGATTTACTAAGAAAAGTACGTTAAGCTTAATACAAGTAAACAAGTTTGTTTTAACATAGATAGTTCCTTTACCAGTTAAAGCTGGAAATTACTAAGTTTCTTATTTAATAGTAAGGTAAGAGTTACTTTCGAAATGAAACATTTTTATTGAAAAATAAAAAATAAGTATCATATCCAAACATGTTGGTTATTAATATTTGCTTAAAAGTAACTTCTACTTTTTTAAGCTTAACCAAACATTTTAACAAGAAGTAGAACTGAAATAAATCCTTTCTCTCCTCAATAATCTCCTGTAATATAGGAATCTATTAAAATTCTACACTAGACCAGGTGGTTGTTACCCTGGCCGAGGAACTTGTTATTGAGCAAGAAAAACAGTGAATAAAACATTCGAACTAGGATATAACTAGCAGAAACAAACTTCTGTTTATTCCCAATTAAACACCTGAATTAGCATAAATTTTCCAAAATCTGCTACTCCTAAATTGCTCAAACTCCTCCGATTTATTTTAATCGGATACACAATATAACGTCCCTTCCCCCTTGGAACCCTTGTCTTCCAGGGAGGATTTACTAGTAGATTGGCACGGGAAATTGTGTCAGGTCTCATTTGAAAGGTCTAAATTGGCTAAACTAGAATCTGTTTAATGAAGCTTCCATTCGTCGAGAATTTACTAGTACGTGAAACAAGCTTCCATTCCTACTAATACGTTGATACAATTTGAATAACCTACGTCTCCCTTGTGTCTTTGAAGACTTGTACAGAACACTCCACAATTAAGCTTAGGGGTTGGAACCTGTAACCGGAAAACGTCCATTACCTACTTCAGCATCGCTGACTGAATTCAACTTCTGTTTCAGAATTTGCTTTAGAATAAGGGGAATCTAGGACTTTGCCAAACTTGTAATTTCCCCCTATGTTTCAGGTTGTTCCTAATGCTGGGCATTCTGCTAATGAGCCGGGGACATCAGAACAGCTGGTTGCTGCAACCAATAAATTGAAATACGTCGTCAAGGAAAAGTAAAGCTAAAATTTTCAGCCTCAAAAATTTTTACTTGATCTAGTATTGTGAACATACTGTAGTTTATTTCCCATTTTTGAGGTTTGTAATCCATGTCAAGATGTCGACAACTTATTAGAGGGGCATCCTCTAGATTCTGTTTTGTGAATGTATTCAATCTACTTCGAGTATATCTGTCTATGAACTTGGTGACACTTTTAGGTTTGTCTTCAACAAGATGTTCAATTTTCAATCACTGAAACCCCTCTGAATTTTGTTTGTGGACACAAGAACAATAGAGAAAATGTGAAAATCAATTACTCCACCTGAATGAAGAAAAATGTTGATATTTTTGTTACAAGTGCATGAACACAGAATCCTTACTCACCCGTGATGTTGAACGTGATGTTTCAGTAGGGAAAGATTTAGTTTTCCTGTAAGTTCTCTAATCTTTGAATTCCATTGCTTTCGAGTGGGGAAGTCCTATGTTTTGGCTCTTGATGTTTTGAAAGGTTAAGTCTTTGTGGTGTTATAATTGCTTCTGCTTTGAATCTCACTTTCTGTAAAACATAATAAGTGAATGTCTGAATTAATTTGCGTATTTGGATTTTAGGACAGAAGAAGAAAATCTCAGTAAATGAAAGTACTTTTGAATCACTTTGTCGAATTTTCTCTGCTTCTATTTCAGTGCCTTCATGCGATCCTT